TTATTCATATTTAATCTTGTAATTGTTCATATTTAATTCTTTAAATTATTATAATCATTGAAAAGATTAAAAATTATCTATTTAAAATATAATTTTTATTTTTTATTTTTTATTGAATAAAATTCTAATAAATAGATTGAGACTAATTTTGTAGTATTAAATTGCTTTATTACATTTCTTTCACTTATTTTTAAATTTTTCTTCTTTGATTCTTATATTTTGCTTCTTCTACTTGATACCACTACTAATAAGCAATTTTTAATTGAGACCATCTTATGATTTGGATAGAAAGATGAATTTTAATCTCACATAAATGCATATAAGAGCCATTCAAAAATCTTGTAAATAAAAAAAAAAAAAAAAAAAAAAAAAATTGATGATTTTTATTGAAAATATCCATCAAAATCAAGATAAAGAGTTAAGAAATTCTTTGCTATAAAATGAATCAAGTTCATTAAGGATTACATTTTATCTTCTATCTTTTTTTATGATTTTTTTGTATTTGTAGTACTAAAAAATAGAGAATCAACAACCAAAAAATTTTAATGAAGAATTATTTTTTTTGAATTATTAGACAAACTATTAATATTTTGACATCCTTAAAAACTTAGATGTGAAGACTCTTAAAAGCAAAAAAAAAATTAAAAATAAATAGCAAGATATAAAATATTTATTATCACAATTTTAAAAGTAACTTTAGATGTTTAATAGTATTATGGAAGGTAGAAAATACTCTTGATGTTGTTTGAAATGTTTTATAAGAAGAAAGTTATAAAAGCCTCAACAATGATTAAATAATATGATGATACTTTTATCTTAATATGAGAAATAATTTATAATTAAATGAATCTATTAATTATCTTTAAAGAAGAGAAAGATCAAAGTATATAATTAATATAATTTGCAACATCTTAGATTTTTTTCAACATGTGAATACTGCTCTTTGTATAATTTGTTTTTATAAGAAGGAAGAGAAGAGGTAATGTCATAAACATATTAATACTAATAATTACTAAGATAAAAAAATAAAATAGAAATAAAAATATGTGATTTTATAATATCTTATAAAAATATTTCATAAATGTAGATTTGACTTTATAAGTATTTGTACATAATTGATAGATTAAAAATTTGGCCAATAAATTAGCCTCATAATACATGTGTTGACCACTTGTTACATAAGTTGACCACATGCTACACATGTTGGCTATTTGTGGTACAAATCGGTCATATGGTGCACATATTAAAAATTTGTCTCAAAAATTAGACCTATGTTTTATAAGTTGGACAAGTATAGAATAACCTATAGAATATTGCCACATATTGTTTTTGTAATATAGTATATATGAAGGTAAGAATGAAATATTCTTCTCTCATATCAATGTCTTTTTTGTATTTTTATTTTATTTTAAGAATTTCTAATTACTTTATATTTAATAGTAGCCATTTTAGTTTTTATTTTATATCTATTTTTGATTTTGTCTAATTTAATTCTTTTAGTTTTATAAGAATAAATTTTTTCTTTAGAATTATTTATTATTTTTTTTCCTTAATACTACAACTAAGATAATCAAACAACTTTTCTACTATTAGCAAAGTTTTTATATAATATTATAATACATTCTTCTATTCAATAAATTCTATTTTTTATCAATTATGGTTATCATCTATATTTTGATATTTTTAGATTTTTAAAAGTTAAAAATTCAAAAGAAAAGAATTTGCAAGTAGAATAAAATAATTTTACGTAATAATAAAAAATACATGAAAGGCTTAAAAACTACAAAAAATTAATGTAATTTTTTTCAAAAAAGAAAATCTTTTATTTAAAGTTGGTGATAAGATATGGCTATCTTGTCGTAATATCAAGATTAATTGAATTTACAACAAGATGGATTATTAAAGGCTTGGTCTATTTAATTTTAAAAAATTAATTAATTTAATAACATATTATTTGTAATTACCACTATCAATGAAGATCCATTATGAAGATCTATTATCCATTATATTATTTTGCATGTCTTTTATTTAGTCTTACACAATAATCAAGATTTCAAAAAAAAATTATTTTCTACCATCTTTTATTAAAATAGATAATAAAAAAAAAATTGAAGTAAAAGAATTCTTAGATTCAATGAAATTTCATAATAAATTGAAATATTTTATATATTGGCACAAATATGATATTAGTAAATATACATAGAAGTGATGTGAAAATCTAAAAAATACAATAGAATTTGTATATGTTTGAAGGTAGCTCAGAAGGCTTTAATGATGATCAAATAATCAAGTCGTCTACTTGTCATAATATATGATATTATCAATAGTTAAAAAGACTTATTAACCACCTCTATGCAGAACAAATATCAAAGTTTGTTACTAATATCATTTAATGGATCTTAGAATTTATTAACTTATAAAATAATATCATAGCTTATTGTAGAATAAATTGAATAAAAAGAACGGTAATGCAATAGATAGCCATATTTATTAGTATATTTGCTTAAATAAATAAAAATATATAGAAATAACTAAAAGTATGTTAAATTGTTGATATTTTATTGGAAAGCTTCTTAGAAGCTATATAGACTTTACACGTATTTATAAGTGATTGATAGGTTGAAAACTTGGCCAATAAGTTGGCCAAATGTTGCATATTTAACTACTTATATATAAATTGGATATGTGGTGCATATGCCAAAAAATTACCTTATAAATTAGATATATGTCCTGCAAGTTAAATAAAAAACATATGGCATATAAAACATCACCACATAATTATTTAATAGGTAGTATATATGGAGAAAAAAGTAAGGCCTTCTTTATTCTTGTTAATGTCATTTTTGTATTCTATCTTAATTCAAGGTTTACTAATCTTTTTATATTTGTTAATTCTCATTCTAATTTTAATTCTATATCTATCTTTTAGTCATCTATATATATATATATATATATATATATATATAATGCAATAATGTATTATTATTTTTAGAATTTTTTTGTAGTTCATGTCTTTGACAAGATAATTATCATATTTGATTCCAAATATTTGACTATTATCTTGATTGACCATAAAATGGATTTTGTCTACATGCTCAATGAAATCCTCATTTAGCTTTCTTCACATAAAGCCACAGTAAAATATTCTTAAGTAATATAAAATAGACTTGTTAATGTGTATTACTTTTTGTAAATTTTACTATAACTTCTCTTTTTGTGATTGAGCAACAATTTTGTGTTGGTCTATGATTGTTTGAATCTAAGTGGTGGTGATCTTAGATACAATCAGCATGTCATCTATATCTTTCTAATCAACTCTATATTTACTTATTGATTTAGTAATAAAATCTGGCACTAATGAACTTAATAGAGATTAGAAAACTTCATATCAATCTTATGTATACAACAAAGTTCGTGCAATGATTTATCATGCATATAAATAATCTAGAGATTGGTTTTGCAACCACAACACATTTGCATCTTTAAATTATATCTTCTACACTTAAAGTAATAATTCTTATGATGAGATTTAGGCATCATATTTTGTACAAATTATGAGCAAAAATTCAACAAAAAAATTATATTTTGAGGTTTAATTCATAGATTCTTCAAAACACATCTAAAAATTTGGACAAAGTCTTAATATAAAGGTATTTTTAGCCATTTTCAATAGCCTTACTTTCTATCCACCTTAATACCTCTATATGCTTTTGTAACAATATGACTTTTTAAAGTATCCTTTAGTAAGGCATGATATATTTTAATTTTTAATTTTTAATTTTTTTTCCATCTCATCCTCCGTCTATGCCTCTTAAGCTTGATTAGTCTTGTTCTTCTTATTAATAACATTATGACGACCGTATACAAATTCTACCATGATAGATAACATAAAAAAATTATTTTATATCCTTATATTTGGACAAAATATATCTATTAATGGATACAAAATTATCATGTCATCAAGTATTATCTTATATAATTAGGTGAGGTATAGTACACATACTATTGTAGTAGCTAATGCAAAAATAGCTACCTATTACACATTGTAGCTACTTGAGTTCTTTATACATGCATTAGTGTAGACCACACTATTTAGAAATATATATATATATATATATATATATATTTTTTAATTCACACTAATTACTATAGTTAGAATAATAAAAATTTATGTTATGTTTAAACAAAAACAAATCTTTTTGTTTCTTTTTATTTTAATAATAATTTTTAAATATACATAATTTAATAACAATTAAATTTAATAATTAAATTATAAGTTATTTGAATCAAAGTAAAATTATTAGTATAATAAATTTCAAAATTCTAATGAGGTATAGTTTTTATTTTTATTTTTAAAGATAATTTTATGAATATATCCTAAAAATTCAGAACTCGAATGAAAATCAACAAGTAATATATTATATATCATTTTATTTTTCAAAACTACTATAATTTTTATAAAAACCTAAGTAAATTTCAAAATTTTCTAGGTATTATCTTAATGTAATATTTTCAGAGAACTTGTTGATTTCATATGGATAAATCAGTTTTCAAAATACTAACTCATCAACAAATATTTTTGCTACACAAAAGAATAATGCCAATTGTCATTTTGCCTATTTTGTTTTCAAATCCAATGTTAAACACTCTCTTTTCCACACATTTGGTAATATCTTTGCAATGATACCAAGGCATAATTTCATCCACATCTCAATATCGAATCTGTTATGTAACAGAAACTCCACAACAAATTCATGGATCCTCCAAAACAAACGGGAATAGACCCCTAGATAGAACAGGGGTGGAGAGGATATGTTCCAGATGGAACGGTCGTGGGGATGAGCACGAATTGCACATAGAATATTCGTCTGGGAGACAGTGGAAGCGGTGCCGTGGAGAGAACAGAGTGGGGAGTAATGTTCCAGGTGGAACGGTCGTGAGAAGAAGCCGGAATTACACGTGAAACCGTCTTCCAAGTGACAAAGGGAACAGGCGTTGCTGCGAGGGCGGAGTTGTGTTTTTTCGGTGTTTGATGCAGCGTGGTGAGTTGCAGGTGCGGAGGGACACGTTTCTCTGCTTTTCTGGCTGGAAGGACAGAACGCAGGAAAGGGAAGAGGGATTGTGCTGAGGTTTTATGCTGTCGTGCCCTCTGCAGCAGGTTAGTTCATTCTTATTTTTATTCCGTGTCGTCCTCGCTGTTCATTATTGTCCAGCTTGGTGTTGGTTAGGGTTTGACAGTGTTCATAGGGTTTTGACATGACTGCATGCATGACTCAATTTCGGTTGCGGAACAGTTCCCGTTGTTCAAGTGTTCGCTTAGTGTTTTTTCTCTCATACGTGTACGGTACTCACGACATCCATCGAGTACTCAAGGACATCCATCTGTCCTTGGAGTCGATTGTTGCTACAGTGACGAATTAGATGTTTATCAGCAGGCCTCATCAGGAGTCTGTAAAGTGGCGTTTTGGTCGACGAGACGATTGTGCTGTAACTAGTACTGGAGCGGTGAGCGCCGCTAGGGTTTTGCAGTTCCCCTGAATGTACGTCTGCTGAAATGTAGGGAAGCTCATTGTGTCCAGGTTTTTTGTTCCACTCGCCTGGGTCAACGCGAACCTTTCAGTACTCGATTTCCGGTAATTTTTAGGGCTAAAAGTAGGTCTCATAATTGTTTGTATTTTGAATATGCTGGTATACATGGCGAGTTGCGATATAATCATGATGCGTGGATATATGTCCATTTCAGTGCATTGATCACCATCATATTTAATACGTTCTGTGAACTAGGTTTCCCTGCATTTATATGACTGATGTTTTGTATTTTAATTGAAATTTGATTTTCATGCTGTTTTTTCCAGAATCTGATTGGGATACGCAATGGTGACGCCTTCGGCGGCATTGGGCAATCGCACGCCGGAGCAGTTGAAGGTTACGGAATTGCGTGACGAACTTCGGAAGCGTGGCATCCAGGCCAAGGGCTTGAAGAAGGAGTTGGTGGATCGGCTTGAAGAAGTACTAAGGCAGGAGGAATTGCAGCAGCATGAAGCACTTGATGCTGTCGCTGCTGCAGCTGCTGTGGATGCTGAGCAACCTGTTCCTGCAACTCCAGTTAATAAAACACGTTCAGAGGGTCATGTTGATGATGACATTCAAGAGCGCAATGATGGTGCGGCTTCTGAACCTTTTAACGCTGGAGGAGTGGATCACAATGAACCTGCGGAAACTCAAGAAAACACAATTCCGGCTTCTCAACCTCTGGCAGAAGAGTTTACGGAATCTAAGCCACTGCCAGATGCATTAGTAGAAACCCAAGAAAGAGATCCTGTAATCCCAAGCATTGCACTTCATGAGGAAGCTGAAAAACCAGATGCTGCGACTCAAAATGTGACTGACAAGGCTGACCAAGTTGTCACTGCATCGATTCCGGACCAACCTGTGCCTGCGAAAGAGACCTTACCCGAGGATCCTGCGTTAGAGGTCGCGGAGGTTGAAGCTGAGCCCGCTAATGTTGTATATCCAGTAGAGAAAGAAAACGTCACTGCTGGTTTGAAAGATTTGAACGAAAGCAAGGAAGAGCCTCAGGAAGTAAGAGAAGAGAAGTTTGAGACAACGAAGGAATCAACACTGTCTGAAAGGTCTACGGCTGTAGTGCAAGCCGTGGAAGTAGATGTGGATGAAGTCATGGGAGGGACAGAGGAAGTCTTCACTACTGCAGTTGAAAAGACTGTGACAACGACTGTGGAGGAACAGGTTGTTTCAGTTGCGCCTGAGGACCGAAACAATACAATTGTACTAGAGGAGCAAGTCATTACAATGAGCACCACAATTGCTACCGGAGATGAATCGGCAGTTGAGATCGTGGAAGAAAAAGTTACTACTTTTGAGAAGGTTGAGGGAATTGTTACCTTGGTTGCCGATGATGAAGGTGTGAAGCCTGATACGGAGGTCTCCAGGTCGTTGGAGGACAAGAGTGCCGATATTATCGGCGAGGCGCCGATGGAGGATGCCATAAAAGTGGCTGAGGAAGCGACGGTCGTAGAGAATTCAAAAGATGGGGCACCTATGGATGTCGATGCGGATGCCGATGCCGTCAAAGTGTCGAAAAGAAAGCAGACTGGTTGGGTTTTTTTCCTTCATGTTTTGGTGCTTTGAACCTCATGTAATCTACAGTGCAGTATGTGCTGTACCTAGAAACTGTCATCCTGTTGGTTACTTTTCATGTTTTCTCAACTAGGACGGTTGGTACACCTGATCAGTTCTCTGCATCTGAATCCACGTGACTGATGATTTTGAAACTTGTTTAAAATATAAATATCGTGGATCCGTTTTGGTTTTCTTTTAATCACTTGTAGATGGGGAGAATAATGCTTTGGATGCCACCAAGCGACGACGATGGAATTCAGCAAAAGGGGACAACAATGTCTCAGGAAAGGAGACGCAACCTCTCGAGGTGCAGGAAGCGGCCCCTCCTTCAAATGCTCCTGTTCCATCTGCTGCAGCTCTTACTCCGAAGAGCATCCCTTCGGAGAAAGTGGCCATCACTAGAGCTCCCCCAACTAGAACAGAGACCTCAGGGAACGGTGATAATCGGAAAACCCGTGTTGGTAAGCCAATTTCACTTTTATGTATTGATTCGCTTATGTTAATTTACTCCACTGCTTTATATTTGTTTTCAAGCAAGGAAGTTCAGTTCTTTTCCATTTTTCTGCAACACGGTTACACGACTGGTTAGGATGTCGTAAGCAGATGAACAATTTTTAAAGCGCAATGTGTTGATTGTATTTGCGTGCGTACTTTTTGGTCGTTGTGCAGTACCACCTAGTGCCAAGCCCGCCACAACGTCCTTGAAGATTGACAAGTTCTTACGACCTTTCACTTTCAAGGCCGTCAAGGAGCTTCTGGCGCAAACAGGCACCGTGGAAGATGTTTGGATGGACCAGATCAAAACCCACTGCTATGTCACGGTACGTTGAATACTGTGACGTTGCTCCACAAAGTATTGATGTAGTGAGTTCCTCTTGGTGTCAGTTGACTCCGGTTTTTTCTCCACCTTTATTATTCTGAGGCAGATTTTAATTTGGAGCTGTGAAGCTCTGTTGCTATAAGCTGAATAGTTCAGGCTTATTATTTCTTTTCCATGGTGTCATTCTGCACTTATTTAATTGTCATCATAAAATTTGATGATGCATCCTGTTTTTCATCAATGCTTGAACTACATGATCTTCTTCCATTGAACTTAATTGTTTTGTTTTCTGATCACGCAACTTTCAGTTCTGAAAGTCATCTTCAAGGCGTCATGGTTCCTTAAAGTTTTGTCAACCTTTACTCTAGCTTGTGTAGAATATAATAGTTTACTGTGAGTTGTTAACCTGTAAGCATTAGAAAGAGTGTACTGAATGTTGGTAAATTACATCTGTGCCTGTTCAGTATTCATCTGTTGAGGAGGCCACAGCGACTCGCAATGCATTGTACAATCTTCAGTGGCCTCCTCAGGGAGGGCGACTGTTAACAGCTGAATTTGTCGATCCATCTGAGGTGAAGGTACGAAGCGATGGTGAGAAAGCAGCTGCAGCTGCAGCCTCTACCCCAACTTCAGCAGCCCCTCCCGTAAATGCTATTACTCCTAGAGGAGGAACGTCGGCTAATTCAAAGGCATCGGCAGATGGACCAGCTTCGCTTCCACAACCATCTCTTCCATTGCCTTCCAGGGAAAAGCCTAAGCAAGGTAAGCAAGAATTATATATCATCATAATGTCATTGACCATGTTTTCCTGAGATGAGATGTTCAAGTTCTTGTTCCCCACCGTTTAGTATTGGTGGCAGTTGTTATTTTCTAGAGCTGATTGCATCTGAGGACTTTGTTGAAGATATTATGTCGGATTTGCAATTTTGGTTTCAGGATGGGACCTGGTTTAGTCTGCTGAAAATAGGGAAAAGTACTTGATTAGCAAGTCAGTTACGGTTAGTTTATTCTGGTTGGCAAGCAACATTGGCAGCAACTGCTTGTAGTGACTTGAAATTGTTGTGTGCACAGAGGTGGAGAGAACTCCTACCCTGGATGATCTTTTCAGGAAAACAAGAGCGAAGCCACATATTTATTACCTTCCTTTGACCGCTAAAGAGGTTACGGACAAAGTAGCTATCAAGAATCGAGAAGCTGCCTCAAAGCCTACTGCTAAGACTTAGATAGTTTTCGTTCATGCACAAGTCAGACCTGCAATTTGCATCAGCGTCCCTGTGAGCTGGTAAGAAATGCCTGAATACCGTTTTACATGTTAGTCCGGCATAATATCAGGTCTGTCGGACTTGAGAACCATCTGGTAAGTATTTTATTTTTCCATGTGTCGTGTAGCTGGATAGCAATTACGTAATTGCAGTTTGATTTCACAGTTGTCAGCTAGTTCATAGCCCCACGAGAAGTTAACTGTCAGTTTTTTCGACCCAGTCATTGCTAGTCTCCTCTCAATCTTCAGCCAAGTCCTCAGGGGCATTCTTTGTGCCCTTTCGTCTCTGTTCTCTGTATGCCCTATTTTAGAGCTCGTAAAAACTGTCAATGTTTGATAGTCACACAATTGTAGGCTGCTTTTATTACCTTGCCTACTGATTAGAAAGAGTTTTAGGGTGGGACTAATCTCGTCTTTAGGATGTGCATACGTCAAACTGGTGTCTGTGGTAGAAGGGTTTTGTCTCTCAGGTGAACAAGCTACGACGCAGTTGGCACTTCGTTTGGGATTGCCTTATGTCACGCCAGTTTCAAATGCGTCTACGACCAACCTTGCGACATATCCAGTGTGATAGGACCCATAGCGTACTCGACTTTTGGAGGATATCTTTTGGTGCAATTTTCTTGAAGGCTTCATTAGCAGCCGAGGGTAGTTACAGGTTCTGAAGTATTGCTTCATAAAGTGTGCTCATTAGTCACAGAGTTGTACATTCATGCTTCTGTGGCACTTCAAATTTTATCCTATTTTCCTACCAGTTCTTTATGTGATTGTTTCTTTGTCGCGACTGAAGTTGCTAGACAAATGAATCCGACAAATTTTCCAGAATTATGAGTTCTCATAAGTTACCAGGCAATTTTTTTCCCATGTAGATCGATGAAGGATTTGATATGGAAAATAAGCGTATGATCTGAAATGTGAAGTGTGTACCGGGCATCCACAACGACAGCTATAACTGAGTCTGTATTCAGTTTGGTTTAATTCAAAAACTAATGTAGGAAAAATACATGTATCAAAAATGATATCATAAATTGGAGATGATAGCTCTTACATGATGATTGAAGTCAATTATATGAAAAAAATGAACATGAATTTTGGTCTGGAGTTCAATTATGATCACAATATTGGAAATGGATCTAATAATTTGTCCATTTGCCATTAGTCCCAAGTGCAGTTCTAATATGCTTTTGCATGTTTGTATTAAATCCTTGCATTCATTAGAAGTAGTTAAAACTTATCTTCAATACAAGTCCATAATTCTAGCATTCTTTTTTGAGGAAACTTATATCGGTTCAATTGACAATTGAGAATTGTCCACATATTTGATTGGATTAAGAGAAAATCCTTGTAAATTCAATCACAAAGTGATAAGTTTGGATGTATGTTGTGGATCATTATCATGTACAATAATCACATTTTTAAAACTTGAATTGTATGCATGCAATGTGTGAATTCACTTGTATTCAAAAATCTCCTTGTAAAGGTGTCAATTCATTGTTTCCTCAATTTTGCACATCATACTAAGACTTTTCATTGTCATACAACCCCACATCATCATTCCTCCAACTTCATTGTCTTTTGTACTGTGGTACTTAAAGCCTCTCCAACACAACTATGACCATCAAAACAAAACTAATTTATTTTTGTTTCAACAAAGAACACAACATTTGCTTAATTATCAAATGTCCAATGTTCATAATGTTTTGCATATCCCAATCTTAACTTTATATGATTGGCTAATAGCTTTGTCTTTTAAGCTTGCTCAATAGAATATCCTTCTCACAATGGAATCAAATACAATAATGTGGGCCTCCACTCTTGAATAGATGGATATCTCAAAGCCACCAATGGAGATTGCTCTCACATATGTTCTTTGATTTGCTATATTGGATGTTCTTAGTCTACTACAATTTATACTAGTAGTTTAGAGCACTAGTGGTTATCACTCATGCTTTGAACTAAGCACAAAAAAACCATTTCTAAATGTTGGATATGTTGTTTAGATTACATTAATCCTTGCAATCCAAGTATTAGCAAAACCAAGTTTAAGAGGTAGGTGATCTAATCTATCTTTTTCTCTCCCATTTGCAATGTTGGATTTGTATTTTGATTGCCACATTATTGAGTTATTTTAGTAGCCAATTCACTTCCAAATTTTATTTCTAGTACAATACTACTCATAGTTTTTTTTAATTTAAAATCAAGATTATTGATTTCATACTTATTACTTTCACTTTACCTTTCCAACATCCAATCAAAAGTACTAAACAATGGTTTATCTATTCAATATAGTAATTTAATTTAAACCCCATTCTGTACAACAAAATTTTTTTTTTTTTTTTTTTTTTTTTAGGAGAGTTTTTTGACATTAGAGCTTTACAATTTCTTCAAAATGTCTTATACTTACAGATTTTAAATACAAAACAATAATGCTCTACTTGAGAAGATGAAACTCTTTTGAGTTGATTCTTTAACCTCTTGCATTTATGGATGTACTTGAACACTAACATTTAATTTAGTGGTTCAAGTCCATATGTCACAAGTTTTTTATTGTTAATTGACATTGTACAAACTCTATTTAATAATATTTTATTAAGAGCATCATTCATATTGGTAGGAACTTACAAATTATCTCATTAAGTTAATGCCATCAGAAAACAAAGCTTGCACTAGTGTGGAAGATTAAGATGTCAGTAAAATCAATAAAAATAAGGACAAACTTTTTTCTAATTATTTATTTTATTCTATAATTACAATAAAGACAAAAAAAATTCCAATTTTTTTTTTCTAATTTTTTAAAAAAATGAACAATTTTACTTTTTTAATAATAAATTATTCTATAAGATTGTTGATAATGTAGTGTTGATATCTTCTCAAGAAAATTCAAAATAATGCATCAAACATATTTTTACTTCGTAGATATATATATATATATATATATATATATATGACAACAACAATGAAGTTAATTAGTCCCACATAATATTACAAATTAAAAATAGATTGGGTGAAAGAGAAGATAAAATTTATATCTAAGTCTTTCAAATCAAGATTAAATCTTCATGGTTTTAGAGTTTAACTTCTAACCTATGAGTAAAGTAGCTAAATAAATAAAAATTTAAAAGAGTATCATATTTTACATTCTTTATCTTCTCAAAATTAGGTGTGAGGTTTAAACAGGCTAAACATGTTTAAAACAAAATCAGATGCTTCATCCTCACATGGTATTAAAACCCCACGGTAACATGTAGAAAGATAATATTCTATGCACTGTTGCCACTTGCTAAGCTAGGGAGGGAACGGCAACATGGAAGATTATTTATACATTGTTTGTATTGAGCTTAGGCACTCGTATCAAAAAACTCACGGCCTCAAAAGTCTATTTCCCTTTAAAATGAAAACGCCAAGATGATCTCTCAAGTATCCTTCGGAATAGTGTCTAAAGTCTAACGATATCTTTGAGTAACAGACCATGTATTAAATAAATTGAATTTCAAAAACAGAAACCTGAGCTGCTCAAACTACTGAAAAAATCTCACAAAGAATTTGTCACATAACTGACTGAAGTTCATAAATGTACCCAGTCCAGGCAACATGACGTAAAACAACCACATCGAGCGAAACGCCGAAAAAGGACGCATATTCATGAATGGAAGACCTTTCACATGGCTCAACTGTAATTCAATGAGCGATTGCTAACCACGCACTTTCTCAGGAATATAACGCTACTACCTGACATATATAAAATCTGAGTACCTACATGAGTACGTGAAAGGACTAATCCGTGTAAAATGTACTGTGCAGGACTAGAGATCTCCAACGACAGCTAATGGTACAGATATTGTTGAGAGCTTAACCCAGAAGTCAACGCCAAAAGCAGCCCCAAGCATAATTCCCAGCAACTGCCAGGTCCCTTTCGGCCTAGAATGTTGACGTAAACGTATATATGCAGCTAACGCCTTCTGCGTGCCCATCAAAGCCCCCATTGGACCCCACTTAGTAGAACTCGCACAGAACGAATTGACGTTCAGAGACATCTCCTGGTGGAGATAATTGCGTGAAAAAGATGAGACTTGGTTTTGGAGAGAAAAGAACACGAAATATTTATCTCCAAACGAATAGCACCTACTTTCTAATGCAGTCAACGAATTTAATTTCATGTTCGAACATTTTGTCGTAATCTCATTGTACGGTTAATCGTACATTCGACATCGTAAATGTTTGTTTTCTCTCTCTCCCTCTCCCCCAACATAAATAGATACACTTCAAAACTTGAAACCTTCTAAGACATTTGGAAGCACTAGCAAGATCTTGAGGAACAATCACTGTTCATAATTCCAAACATCTATGGATGGCTGGAACGCTATGACATACAAGCTTCGGATTCAGTTACTGACAGCATGAGCTACAAACTTGAAGCAAAGTCCAAATGCCTACCTTTTCGGACGGCTTCGGTCTTCGTCAACAAAATCCATGATAGCCCCAGCATCGGAATAAACATCTTGTTGTCCACGCAACTCCATCTCAGCCTTCATACAGTTGTAGAACGACACAAATCTTATACAGGAGCTCTCACAAAAATATGAGCACCTTAGCACAACTACGTTCAATCTTTCTAGAGCAATTAAGTTCATGATCCCCGAATGCCAAATGCGCAAAGGAGCGAGACAAGAAAAAGCAAATGGTTTTAAACTAATAATACAGAGTCCAGTTCAACCAGTCAGGCGGCTACCCAGAGATTAAATTTTTTCTTGACTGGAGTATTCCCGGTAAGAATCTGTGATCATTAGCCTTGCTACGACAGCCTGCTAACATTTTCTGTTGTATTTTCTTACTGATTTCTAATATCTTGATACACTTGAATTGCTAAATCAATTAGCCAGAACGCTAATCTAGTTGTATGGGAAAGTAAAATATTGTAGACGTAGTAAACCCAAACTGTAGCATGATGTCTATCATAACCCTAGCATCCGAACACGCTCACAAATATTTATACTTGAGTTTCATAGTAACATACCTTTATAGATTTTCGCATTTCCTCAGCCTTGTCTTCGACTTCCTTCTTGTGTCGCCGAACTTGCTCGCTCATGCTGTCCGCCCATTTGATCTTCTCTTGTATTGTAAGCAGCAAATTATCAGAACTGTTCAACCTGGACATCAAGAGAATCGAACTTGTCCTGTGAGTAGTGAGAAAAAATCCTCAAGAAGAGCCGCTAGGAATGCACAATCGCTCTACCAGGCTGCATGAAAACTGGCAATTAGATCCAGAGCTAGGTGATATGTTCACTCTTGAAAAGTGACATTTTACCAGTTTGCCAATGTTGCGATCATATTGTCGAGCTGACCTGGTCTCAAGTCCCTCCCAGCAGCAAATTGTACCTAATCCCACACACATGAGCGATCAGAGTATCAATCCAAATGAGGGCCACGAAATGAAAAAAATTTAGGCATACCCAACACACGCGAGAGAAAAAAACTCACCTCAAAACAACGACGTCTTTGATCCAGCTTCCCTCTAACTATGCCCTGTCACAAAGCGCGCAGTAAGATCAATGAAGTTGTATTGATAAGTCCTGCCAAAGTAGAAGATACAAAAATGGTTGTGAACGCTCGATCATCGAACAAACTCGACATAATAAAACTGCAAAGGGTTATTTAAAAAGTGAGGTTGCTTTAAAAAAGAATGATATCAACATTCAAAAGTCAGCAGAATTCCTACAGAGTACATGCAGTCGTTGATAAGTAAGTCTTCAAGCTCCCGAACATTGGAAATATCCAATTGTTGCATCAACAAATCATAAGGCAACACCTGAATCGGCCACCCAACTGACGTTTCAGTGTAACCATTCAAAATCGTGCCCTAGGACACAAGGATGACTAAACTGAAAGATCGCCCCGCGATCTGCAAAGAAATACTCGTACATCCATGTGGGTAGAAACCTGCGCCTTATAAATACCTTGGCTGTTTCTGCCAAAGTCATTACAGTCAGCTGCTTCAACTTCAGTTCCTGAGGAGGATCCAGTCGAGGCAACATCTGTGCATTATCTGCAACGTAGAACTAGAAATCAGCATACTCGAAGGTTTCGATGGAATCATTCAGAATTAATATATGCATTTTCAGGTAAACTTCCTACTCTCAAACATTTTGAGATAAGCCGGAAGCTTGAATTGGACTATTATTCGCAATTGGGAACAAATCTTTCATAAATCTAATCCAACAGCGTAGGAGTCTGCCAAAGAAAATCCGTACAGAATTGACGTTACGGTAGAAATTATTACGGGCTTGCAATCACATACAATCCAAGACTTCGAGTCGCAAGTCGTGCATGAGAGTAAAAACGTTGAATCTGACCCTAACAGTCGAGACAGAGTACTCTGACTACAAAACAAACCAATGGCGTTGAACACTTACTTTTGTAATCGGTCCAGGTCCCATGAGCAAAGAGTCGAAGCAGATCTAAAGATGCAGAATGCTCCGTTCCTTTTAACTGCAGAATCAAAAGAACGAAGAACGCTCTAAATTTTTGAGCAGTCGAGCCGGTTCAACAATTTCCGGCCAAACTTGAAGGCCTATATCATCTTCATGCGCAATCAAACGAAGTCACGATAGAATTACGTCCCAATATGCCTCTGCCTCCGGCACGCCTTCTCGTTGCTAGATCAAAGAAGACCAAAACACGAAAACTACGCAATAATTCACCCATCACAGGCATCTGACTTCTTGAACGCGTCAGAATTAGGGTTCCATCCAAAGTATCAGAGAAAGTTTACAGGCTACTTTAAAAATAAAAATAAAAATAAAAATAAACCCAGAAACACATCAAAATAACTAGAATTCATATTTATACTGCCAGAGTATGACATGAACAAAGACCCCATTAACTTGACGAATAGCGATTGAAACAAGGCAATCGGTGACAAGAATTTTAAAAGCTCAAAACCTAAAATTCGAGCATACGACGGACACCCATTGGGATCAGACCTCAGCGATATGCGGAGAGGCGAGAAGCTCAGAGAAGGCGAATAGCTGCGGGTGAGATGTGGCATGAGTGATGAGCTCGACGGCAGCGCGACCCCGTGCGCTCGTGGCTAGCAACACAAACTGCTGCACCAAATCGCCCTGCTTCTGCTCCACCTCCATGGCTGCTAGCGATCCCTACGGCCCTGCTGTGATAGTGTCCTGATCGATGATCCTGGGATTCCAGCTTCTCAATCGAGCACTTCCTTACGCGAGAGAGAGCTTCATGCTCCGCCGATCACTGCCTTCTCCCCGCTCTTGTCTGCACTTGGGCCTCTCTGTATGCTCCGCCAAGCCTCGCCTCCCGACTTTCGTCCCTTTTCCCGACGTACCGTTCGAATGACGGCGTCGTCTCACTTTCGTCCATTTCATCTCGACGTTTCGTTGGTTTCAGACCGACGTCGCTGTGTCGTCGATGCTGTCGATGTTTCGTTCGTCGACGACCAACTTCGTCGTCGCTGATGAGAACGTCGTCCAGGATAGAGTTACACATGCACCGGTGTTGGGACCATTGCTTGGCTTTGAAAGTAAATTGTTGAAGCGAGTTATGTATTGTATCTATATATTAAGATTGCTCAAGGAGACAAGTGGTGGCTCTCATTCACCACATGCACACTTCTTGGTTTTCATCAAAAAACTTAACATTGTTTCAAGTTCACATGTCATTTACAAAACCAATATTGAAGGTGAATTTTGATCATCAATGGAGTGGGAGTCAAAATCACAATCTTCTCCTTACTGTGGAAGGTGCAAGCTGTGAGGGAGATGCAAGGGAAGAAAGGCAATGGGTGTTGGATTTTGTGAGGTGCACTTCTAATCCCAATCTCTGATTGCGAAGCATAGCCCAATGCATAGGTTGGTCCTGTGGCAAAATAGATGCATAATTGTTTTATTTTTCACTTTGTACCCTATATCTTTGTAGTTGAATGATTGCGGATACTTAAGCATAGCCATGGGAAGCAATGCACAAGGAAATGAATTGATGAAGAGAATTGGATTTGCCTAGGAGTCAAAACATATCCTTTGCCAAAGAAATGAAAGCATTGCCACGTGGTGTATGTACAAGATATTGCTCTCTTTGTCATTGTTGATGAATGAATCAAAGAACGATGTAAAGAAAGTTTTAGAGTTGAATTTTGGCATCTTTTTCAAAGTCATGGATAGACCATACTTTGAAGAAAGTTAAAGGACATGGCATGGTTTTTACTGAAATTTTTCACTCATAGCTAACATTGCAACTAATTGTTTGAATTTGTTGCTATTCATCTTAAAATTTATTTAGGTTTAGAATAGAAACCATGTTTTAATTACATGTTTAGAAAACTTTCATATGTGAAGTGAGCTCAACATATTGTGGATATTTATCCATCAATTTGACAAAAATTTGATAGGTCGATCAAAATTAAGGAGGCTTTGAAGTGGATCATAAGCAAAACATTGTGGTCCTCAAGCTCATGATGCACACCCACTTGAAAGGATTTTATTGACTTAATAGCCTATCACCATGATTCACTTCTACACATGTACATAGATGTTGTGCTTTGGTCATCTCTTAGATGCAAATCTCACCAAATATTTTAAAGATAAGATGCTTCTAATGTTATTGTATTTTGGAAGTATATATTTTAGAGTGTATATGGGTGTGGTAGAGCAATTGACTTTTGACAACTCAATTCAAAGATCAGTCTCTTGTTAGTATTTTCTAATTATTCTTACATAAATTGATAAGAATTAGGCCTAAATCAATAGCAATAATGGATTAGAAACTATTTTCATAGATTACATGATCACTCAATCAAACTTTGATCATATTAATAACAAAGAATCATTGAGGCTAAAATTTATTGGATATGTACATTTAAAAAATATTACCACATATGATTTGTCATATGGATTTACCTATCTTACTTTGTAGCTAAAAGATCCATTGTATATTTTATTTCTTTCTATTTGTATTGTATTGTATATGTATTTGAAAAATATTCTTTAGCTCATAAACATATCTTTTAAAAATAACTTTATTTAAGTCACATTTTTTTGTGAGAACAACATGGGTTCATCTAATCTAAATATTAAGATTGCTCAAAAAGATAAGTAGTGGTTTTTATTCACCACATGGATTAGTCTTCATTTTTATCAAAAAGATTCATGTTTTGTAGAGTTTATAATACGTTTTATAATTCATGACTAAGTTTTGCAGTTGATTAGAAGTTCCACATGATTCAAGTAGTGATTCTTGATAGTTGTATGGATGGATCTTTGTATATATAAAAAAAATTACCTTCTTTGAAGTTCATAGGACGTTCTATAAGACGTTTTATAGATGATCAGAGCATTCTATATAGTGTTTTATATTTAATCAAGGTATTTTACAAAAGATCATTAATTGTAAAAAATGACTCAAAGCTTTAAGAGATGCTTTGAATGATAAGCAAGAATAGCTTTTGATTCACATGGGTCCAAAGTCTCTCAAATTACTACCCAAATAAAAAGTATTTAACAAAGAATGGATCTATCAAGTACTCAATTGTTTCAAATCCAAGGATCATAATACAAACAATATGTCACGGCCATAATCATGTAAGCTAATAATTACATATACAAATAGGTAGAAGTAAGTAAAAGTAGGTAAAAGTAAGTTAATTCTATAATATTTAATATAGAAGCTTCTTAGAAGCTTCCTAGACGCTGCTTTGACTTCATAGGTGTCTTTAATTGACTTTTTGGATTAGAAACGTAGTCAATAAGTTGGCCATGTGCCACACATGTTGTTAGCTTGAAGATCAAGCTAACTATGTGGCCCACACGTAGAAAAACTTGTCTTGTAAGTCAAGGCATGTGTCCTACAAAGTCAACACATATTGGAGGTCCTATAGAATGCCGCCACATAGCCTCTAGTTAGATAGTATATATAGAGACAAGAGTGAAGGCTTCTTCACTCTTATCAACTTCTTTCTTACTTCTAGTCTAGTTTCAAGGGTCTCTAGTTTTCTTGTCTTTTGGCAATAGCCATTCTAGTTTCTATTTCAATATATATACTTGTTTATATATATTTTGTTACCTCTCTTTGAGTGAAGGCTCACTTGTCTGAATTATTTTTTCATCAAGTTCTTGTCCTTGACATAATATCGCGCAATGTAAACCCAAGATAAATAGCCAAGAAAAATAGTGATTCTTATTTATTACACGGATTTGTCATTATTAAAGTTTAATTAAAAATAAAATATAGGAGTTTAACTAAACATAGATGGATTTAAGAATATATTGTTTGTTACATATATTCAATGTGATTGAAGGTGAATTTTGGTCCTTGACAAAGAAGAAGACATAATTGCAATTTTTTTGTACTTTCTTGAAGTTGTACTGTCAATTGGAATAGACATCTGCCAAAAAAAATATTTTTTATACCTCAGATATTTATGCATTATATTTGAGCTTTTATTGAAGAATCTATTGAAGAATTTGTAAGTGAGAATATATAACAATGATAAGTTTATCATTTGATTTAAGAAAAAAACCTGATAGAACTTGAAAGATTTCAAAAATCATATTTTTTATTTTTTTAAAATCATATTTTCAAGTTTTATATTGTAAACTGAGGTATTTTTAGATATTTCAAAAGATTCAAAAATTCAAATGTATTTTTATTATATTAAATTTTAAAAAAATTACTATGCTTTGTATTATAAAATGAGTATATTTTTAGAAATTTTAATGTAAGTATATTAAGATGAAATAATTTGAATATTGTATGCTTTGTCATTTTGATAATTAATTATTCAAAATTTAAAACAATATATGAAAATCAAGTGAAAGTTGATTTTTGAGAGTTACTATGGTATTACATATTATTGTGGCATTGCAAAGATTTTGAAAATTATTTGATTCTTAATTTAATATCTTTTATTTCAGTTGTTCAAAGTAGCTTCAAATTATGTATCTTTTGTGTTAATTGACTTACTTAAGAAGTGTAAGGTTAGCGACATTTTAAGGCATCATGTGTAGAAGTGATAATAATGAGTTCTACTAGTAGAAACTTACAATTTGTCAATAGTTGGAGAAGAAAGGACTTGATAGTTGAAGAGCATAGCTTGATTTTTTTATTTTTTATTTTTTACTTCAATTTTTGTTTTATTTCTATAGAATTGATTAGAATCTAAAGAAATTCATTATCTTTCTATTGTAAGCAGCAAGCTATTATTCAAGATTGCACCAATCAATTTTATTAGGAGTAAGCCAATGCAAGAGATATCATGTAATTCATTCAATTTTGAAGGTACTTTTATTACTTTTGGTAATAACATAGTGAAGTGCAATAGAATAAGAAATTATTTGAAATTACACCAAGAAATTGTGGTGAAGTAAGTGTTGTTTTTTGGCTTGAACTCAATCAAGTTCACTTTAGTAGACTACGTTCACACCATTTGGATATTACTTTCATAAAGACAAATCGGTTTTCAAACTCCAATTGTTTTCACAATACTATAAATTATTTTGCAAGAACCATGACATCTTAATACACTTTTATGATTTTTTAATATAATTTAATATTTTTTAAAAATATTTTCACAAGTAATTCCTTGAACAAAATTATATACTTTTTTTTACATATTATCTGTGAAAATGGCACAAATTTAGCTATCCTACTTTATAGTTGAAAGCTCCATTGTAATTTATTTTTTTTATAAAAAATTTAAAAAATATTTATTGATTCACAAATATATTTTTCAAAAAAACACTTTATTTGAATCACTTTTAATGATAATGATACAAGTTCATTTATTATATATATTAAGATTATTCAAGGAAACAAATAGTGGCTCTCTTATACCGCATACATTTTTCTTGATTTTCATTAAAAAAACTTGATGTCTTTGAAAAAAAAAAAAAAAAAAAAAAAAAAAAAAACTTGACTTAAACTCAAGCCGAATTCATAGGAAGTTCATAGAAAGTTCATAAGGCTTATTTTTTTTTTGTGATTCTACAACTAAATGCACTCAAAGAAAGTTCACATGAGATTTCACAAAGAGTTCATAGGGCTCATTTTCTTTTTGTAATTCTATGACTAAATTCAATTGAAAATATAATTGAAGCCATATTTTTTAATTTCTTTTATTTCTTTTTTGTGATTGAATATGATTGAAGGTAAAGTTCAATAATTCAAAGAAAAATGGGCAATCAAATATCAGCAAGGCAAGGTGAGAGCTATGAGGGATGATGGAATTTTGCTAGATGCATGTCTAATTTTGATCTTTGATTGTGCCTATAAAAATGAAAATG